ATACTACAAAAATGTAATCCTTATTTTCAAATATTTATATATAAATTTTTACTTAGATATTTTAAATCTTTAAAAATGTAAATTATTACTATATTTAGGCAATTATGCAGGCAAATTTGCTTGCATCCCTCTACAATCTAAGGGATAGGTTCTAAATTTTAAAGATAAATTGTATGTTAGAAAAAGAAATATTCAAGATAGGTTACAAGTTAAATAACTTAAAATTCTTAAGCCTAACTCAAATTATAAGTATTTGGTTACACTTTTTTCTTTTATTTTTTGTTTTTTCTATTATGTTACTATCTAACAAAGTTTTTATGACTTAAAACAAGTTTTTCTTTGTTAGCAAGCTTAGCACTTTTAGATTAGTAATAATTTTTATTTTTTTCTTACTACTAGATATTAATATTTTTTAATTTAGCATTAGTTAAATTAGGAGAAATTTAGTTTTGGCAGTTTTATATCATAGTTTTGGTTCTAATAACTAGTGTAACAAGTTATATTTAGGTACTCTTAGAAGTAGCTAAGTAATGTTAAGCTTATAAAATTAGATAAAATTTTATTCTTTAAATTTACTATGTAATGAGTAAAATAACTATATAATAAAATTTTATAACAAGACTATTAAAGAAAAAAAAAAAGTTAGATATTCTGCAGGCTTCTCTCAAATAAGACTAATAGAGTACTTTAAGATAAAACCTTTTCTAATAATAGAAACTGAGAACAAACCAGTCTGAGTAGTTCTCAATGAAGTAGTACAAGATTGTGTAGATTTAAGAATAAAATTAGATTGATATTAGAGATGATGGGAATACTAGAGAGTTTAAAATAGAGTAGCCACAAATAGATACTAGATATAGTAATTAGTAAATAACTTTCAGACAGAACCTTTAAATAGATAATAATTAAAGTTGTACATGTAACCAATTGTACTCTCACTAACCAATGTAAATTAACTAGTATCAAGGCCTTGTTGTAACAATAAATAAAAAAAAAAAAAAAAAAATTAAAATAATATTTTGATATTAAACACCATAAACACATTTTATAATATTTGAAAATTAAAATAAAAAACTTTTATAAGATTTACTTTAGTAATTATTAAAATATTTTATTTTAAACTTAAAAAAATATTTACTTAGAAAAGTTTGTCTCTTTTCTACTGATTTCTCTCCATATAGTTACTATATATGAAGCAACTGATAATATGTAATTACTATGTGTGAAGCAGCCAATAACTGAAATTTCACATGATAAATAATGTCTATTTGCTTATTCGAATCATTTGTTAAATAATAATTTATTCGAATTTTCGTTGAATACGAATATTAATCGAATAACGAATACGAATACGAAGCTCTAGTTAAACTCAGAAGAGTTTCGAATCAACTCGAATCATATAAACGAGTTATTTTTTCGAGTTATTCGAGTCAAGTAAATTATCATTTGCAATTAATACAATTAATAAATCCTTATTTGTCACATACAATGATTCATCACTCCTATAGATAATTTAATACAAATTCTGTCGGTGTTAGATTAGTTTCGGCATACGGCATGTGCCGAAACTACCAGGCATCATTTATTCATGGGAGGTATGAATAGCAAAAACGGGGTACAAATAGTATTGCCCTATGTACTGTGTACTCTTAAATCTGGTAATTAAAAATTTTATTACAGGTTTTTAGTTGCAAATCATTCTGTATAAAGTGTACGCATATGTAAAACTATCTTCCGAGCCCCAAAAAATTACAAATTAAAAAAATCTGTAAAAATTCCAAAAAAATTTTTTTTCAATTCTCAAATATTCTAATCCGATTGCAGAAAAAAAATACATTCTAAACACGAAAAAAAAAAAAAATGCCAACGTCTACATTAAAAAATCGGACCACTACTTCTTCTCAACCTACGGAGTCCTCGCCTTTCACTCCAGACAGTGACCAAATTAGTTTGATCTTTTCAACTAAATATACATTTCCTGTCAAAAAATCCAAGATAAATTACAATACTTTACCAAAATTCATTGATGACACTTTAAGATACTTGAATACTTTTAATTATCCTTATGACATGTTTTATGTCGAAAATGGAAAGGAGGTTTTGGCTAAGTCGAAAAATTCGGATACGATGAAGATTTTGAAGAGGCTTTGCGAGAGTGATACGAATATTGATAAGGTCTATTTTTTGGCAGATAAGGAGGTATGAGAGACAGAATTGGTAAATTTTTCTAAAAAAAAAAAAATATTAATTGTCAATTGTCTTTTTTATTTTATAGAGCGGAATTACAACTTTTATGTATTATAACATTGACTTCATCCTACTTATAATATTATTATTATGTTTGGGTTGGTTTGCTGTTACTGGGTCTTACGAATCCCAAATGGCAGCAAGTTTTTTTGGGGTTGTTTTGGCATTGAGAATGTTTAAATATCTTCGATAAAGTTTTTTGAGGATGACGTAGACAAGTTAGCGTTTTCTCTATAATTATTAGTAAAGATATTTGTATTTATTTATTTATTATTAATGTAATTTTTGTGCGTTCTTGTTTATTCACATTAAATGGATAGATTTATTTTCAATAAAAAATAAAGTAATTGAGAACATTTATTTAGAAGTATTAGTACAAGTCCACAAGTGAAAATAGTTTTCAATAAATTCTTAACGGTTTTTTTATTACATAGCGATGATTCATAAATATATCTGTATAACAAAATAATAATCATACGAAATCATAGAAACGCACATAAAGTACATATTTATTTTTTTTCAGCCAAGGCAAGAACAAAAGGCCAACTAATGCTTAAAATTTGGTCATCTTTCCATCCTTCATCTTCTTTAAATTCCTCAAACAACTTGTCAACTGGATCTTCTATTTGTTGGTTTTCTTTTTGATACTTGGACATATAATTCTTGTAAGAACTCCATGTCTATCCAAATATATATATTAAATATGTGTTTTTAATTAAAAAAATTCCGATAAATTCGATATTTCTTAAACTCACCTTCACATAGTTTTTCACTCGTTCGACACTCCATTCGTCACTTAAAAGACTTTCACCATTCCCAATTTTCCCTTCCTTCTCATCAAATTCTTGTCGTTCCCAAATAATATTTTTGAATAATTTATCGGGAATCACAATATCCCTATATAGGTTAGCAACTATTTGTCGTCCCGGATCCCAATACGCATCCAATGGCCCTGACCCAAGTTCTGAAAATTTCTTCTGGGCTGTTGGGTATCCATTGATAACATGGTAACTATACCCCCACATAGCCAATGATCCACTTGGTTTCAAGACTCTCCACGCTTCTTTAAAAAACTTTTCGGTATTGAACCAGTGAATTGCTTGGCCTACTGTCACTAGATCAAATGTAGAATCTCGGAACTGAGAGAGGTCTTCGGCAGAGCTGACCGAATAGTGAATATTTGAAGATTGGATGGCAGAAGAAAGCATATTTTGTGAAATGTCAGTGGCATACACTTGTTGAAAGGTTTTAGATAGTTCTTTGGCAATGTAACCGGTGCCAGTCGCGATATCTAGGGCGGTGGAAAATGATGTGGAATGTGAAGCATGATAAGCATAGACTTTTGAGTAGAGACGGGGCGAATACCTAATTTAAAGAATTTGAAAAATCGAATAATTTAATCATTTAACTTTTTTTTTTGATTTATTCAAAAATTAACTCACATTGGACGATATGCATTGTATGCGGCACTATTATAATCCGAATCAGCAAAAGTAGTAGAATGTTCTTTACCAATGCTAGTATTATACATGGTAGACATTGCAGAAAAGCGAATCAAATAGGGAGTAATTCTTTTCAAACTTCTCTTTATATAATTCTCTATATATGACATTGTATTTAGTGACTTTCTAACCTTCTCTTTATATATAAGATATTATGCATTTTATTGTATTACGCATTTAGTAATGGTTTTCAAATATTTTAGTAATTATTTTTGATGAGTCATTTAATATACAATTTAGCTAATATTTAGCGAGGTACGATTTAATTGTTTAATTATCGCTATTGAATGATGACAATATCAATATGGATATTTTAAGGAAAGGACGGAGGTAATATGATTTAGCTTGATAAATCAAATTAATAATCACAATTTACCAATAAATCATTCGTAATGTCCAAGTATATTATAATATTTTACACAACGGGAATACGGTTCTTAATTACTTAGTAAAAAAGCAAAAGGTCTCTTCGGCCCATTCCTTTGTGTTAACTAAGAGATCCAGCGTTTTCTTTAACTAAGTACAATGAATCGAATTATTAATTTTAGTAATAGAAATTCTTTTTAATTTCTTTACTAGAGAAAATTAATCGATAACTAGTCCTTTTCTAAGGGCGAAAAGGACCTCCATTTGGTTATATCCTATTTCACCGACAGACATAAAAATTTTGCTAGCACTAACCTAACCCTAAATCAGGCTAATATGTCAGTAAAGTGACCTGTCGGTAAAATGACCTTCGCTCGAGAGGTTATTCTGATTGTTCTTCCTTCTCTCTCATAAGTATAATTTTCCTTTTCACCCATGAGCTCGGTCAGATTACAAACATAGTGCAGCTCATATAGTGATGATCACTAATTAAGATGTATATATATGTAAATATAAAATTCGAATTGTAATACGTATCTCTTGAACTATTAAGTGTACGTACATAAATAAAATTATACATTTCATTTAACAAACATCACTAACGTGACATTTTAGAATTTATTAGTTATAGATATTACTATTTAATAAATTGTCACACAGTATGATATCTGTTAAACGGTTGACCATTATTTAACAGACGCGTGCCAATTTATCAAATAGTAATATCTACAACTAATAGTTAAATGAAATGATTGTTGACGAAGTGGGCCACGTTGATAAAAAGAGCGTTATTATGTTAAAAAACACATTAAGAGAGGTATAATGCAGTAATGAATGTAATTTATTTATCGTTATGTACACTTAAATCAATGGATCGGAAAATAATTTAGCCGATCAAGTTAAAAAAAAAAAAAAAAAAAAGATAGTCACGACCATTCTTTTTTTCGGAGTTGCATTGATAGGAATCTTCAACAAAATTGTTAAAGATTGCGTAATGCTTGTGCACGATCTCGATCACTATCCTTAATAGTTCAAGAGATATTGCAATTCGAATTACTTTCGAATTTTATGTTTTTACTATACGTATACATAATCGTTAACTGATATCTGATACGTAAAATCTTAATTAGTGATCATCACTATACAGTATGAGTTGCACTATCTGACCGATAATAGACACCCAATGGATTATCCCTCACCTCAATTGATCACCCTAATGTCGGCGTAAACCTTATCGTTATTACTTTCGAAAGTTTCTACCATGGTTTACAGGGTTAAATATAAATACGGGAAAAAAATAAAATAAATAGTAAATAAAAAGAAATAATCGGCGTATTACGATCGATAACTTTCGATAAGTGACAGGATTCATTGCTACATTGATCTGATTCTGTTCTAGTGTATTGATTTACCAGTTCTAGAGCTTTTCTAAATTGATTATCAGTAATTATAAAACGGATTAACAGCATTAAGGTGTAGGTTAGCGAGTCAGGCCGAAATTGAAAAAATTGGTTTGAAACATGCGGGCCGAACTTTTTATTACTTCTGCAAATTAGGAATAGGAACACAATTAAGTGTAACATAAAAACGCGCTCGTTAAAAAAAAAAAAAAGGGAAAAAAACATAAATTCCTATGCTCTAACAAAAGTTTTCTTTTGAGCAATTTTTTACCGTACTATTGTTAACTTTAAATCTCAACCCAAGCACTTAAACGAGACTTCAAAGAATTTTGCCTGTTATAACGTGACCTCCCGCTACATGCTTAGAATTTGGGAATTTGAATAAAGTGTTATGAACTTGTATTACTACCCTTTCTTTGGGTCACATACAAATAATTTTTTATTGCCTCTACTAAACTCGGCCATTAGGTTATTTCTATATCGATATATTAATATAAAATTACATTAAAAAAAAACAGATCTGTTTTTAGAAATTTTGTTATAAATGTTTAATTTTGGGGTAACAAATACGTCCTAATTAGGAAAGGGTCATTAGTAAAATAACCAAATAACGAGATTTATTAAGCCTTATATGATGAGAATCAAAATATTACGACATTGTACTGTAAGCGGTTTTTTCGGACGTCAAATTGGATAAATCAGCATTCTTGGATGTTCGATCAGCAGATTTCTGATAAAAACAAAAAAAAAACGTCGAGATTTTAATTTTTATTTTAATAATTTGAGATATTTGAGATTGCAATTAGTAGTCTTTTCTCTTTGCTAAATATACGGAATAACAATGTCTTTAAGGAACAAGTTAAATTTTTATACTGTGCTCGATCGATTGATTCCTTCTTATATATTGGATCAGGGTAAATTAAAAAAATTTTTTATTCATTTCTGAAATTAAGTCCTAAGAAAATTATTGCATTTTATGATGGGGTTTTTTTTTAAAAAAAAGATGCTATTAACCATAGCTTGCTTGTTCATGACTATGGAACCGATTAATTCTCTACTTCTATCCATTTTTTATAAATTATGCCTTTCAATAAATAAATATTATGTAATTCATCCTTTTTAAAAGACTTTGACCATACACTCGTTTTATTCTCTAATTATTCTTTTATTATTCCAAACACTTTTATTTTATCTTTTTTTTTCCAAATTCATAATCTTTAATATTAACATTTTTTCTTAGATTATGATAAAGATTATTCAGCGCGACGTAACTTACTGCAGGCGCGCGCCGTTGTTATTGTCACGGTATCAGTATGCGTTGCACTTGTTTTACAGCTCTTAACGGATCTTTATTTGATATTACTTCATGGATCGATAAATGAATCGGAATTTCCATGGCCAATTACTTTATTCGGTACTACTCTTTATGTTGGTAGGTTTGAATGTTATCGACGTTGCTATTAATTGATTTTACATTTTACTGCGCCATTGACTCTGGCTGTTACTACTTTTATCCCGGAATGTCGATAGCGATGTTATATTTTATACCGAATGGCAAAATAACAATCGTGCAGGCTGCCAAATTCGGTGTTTATTTTTTTTTGCTAATATCTGTATATACTTCTTGTCTTGAGAACGGTAGGTTTTCTTTTCATATTCATAATTTGCCTACAGTTGACTCTCGAAATTCTAATCTCTTTATATCTCTTGAATCCGATTGAAAAAGGATTTCAAACTTTGAGTCATGCGAGCTTTTTTGCTGTTCCGCCTTTCGGGTATGTTTCATTCCATCAATATACTATGTTGTTATTTTTAATATGAGTTAATAAATTTTATTTGTTTGAAGATATATATTTGTTTCTAAGAGCTTTGGAAGAAAAACTACAATTGTAGTCTGTTTGATATATGTGATTTCATTCTTTCAGTGAGTGCTTGTGATCAATCAGATATTCCGTGATTATGGTTTGATAAGATAATGATGATATTATTATATGGGATCTTTGCCTTGAAAATGATCTAATGATGCATACATTTATTAATTACTATAAGGTAATTTTCTGGGCAAAGACCCTATATCTCTCCATTTATTCATCAACATTTATCATATTTTGTTAGATCTATTGGAAAAAAAAATCAATTATCATTATCAGCAACTGGTTGGGTTGTTTGTGATGTCTATATACTATGCTTTGTTTACTTTTTATTCGTGAGTACTTGCAAACAAATTAATAACGCTCTCATCTGCATAACAATCCGACTTATATGCTCTTAATATATATGATTACGAAGGTTGCTTATGAGCAAGAATTCCAATATAATCAAGAATGCATGCAAAAATCCTTGGACGAGGTATTTATATTATATTTTATTTATTTATT